CCATTCTGGCAAGGTTTTACTAATTATTACATTCGGTTGGCTACATCGAAAGCGGATTTAAGGGCAAGGAAGGTAGTGTAGGAGCTGCAGTGTGCAGGGTGAAAAGGTGGCTAGCCAATGATGCACGCTCTTCCATGCAAGAAACCATGTAACCGGGGGGAGACAAAAAATTGTTTTGATTCCTGTACATGAGACGATTAAGAATCATTCTCTCAAATGTTTTACACAAGCAGCTAGTAAGAGATATTGGGCGAAATTCTTTTGTTGATTGGGCTTAGGAATTGGAATGATGAGGCTGTTGGTCCAAGATTGAGGGAGCTCCCCAGTTACATAGCTCATGTTTTTATAATTCAAGTAATGGATTACCTGGTACTCGACACCCGCAATCTGGTAATGTTGTAAGTAATACCATCCTCACCAGGCGAAGTGGAGTTGCCCTTAGCGTTTCATCAAGTTCATAATTAGTGGAAAGGAATGTTGCAATCATCTGCCCTTTCTGAGCATAAAGCAACAAGTCTCTCCCTTGCATCATATTTGTCATTTAAAATTTTGCCTGTGTGGTACTGGGAAGATTGTCATAGCTAGATGTAGCAGCCCAAGCACTGACTAACTCATTCGCCCTATGCAAGGGATGAGGGTGCGCGATCTGCCCAGTTCGGTTACCCTTAATTCTATTTATGTCCCCCCACGCCCGGCTTTAAATGGGGGGTGAGCATTAAAAACCGTTGACAAATTTTTTCCCAGTCGGTTTGCCGCAGCTCTGTCATTTCGCTCTCTGGCAGCAGCAAGGGGGAGTTTGGAAGAGCCTCAGCATTCCAGGGGTACGATGTTTTCTATAGGCTAGGCCTAGTCTGCGAGCAGTACGTTTCAGTGTACGAAGTTTAGAATTTCTTTTCGTATTATTGTTCTCAAACTACTACCTGACAAGCCAAGATTGTAATCTACTCCCTCTTTGAAAGCATACAGCTTAGCCAATTTATCAGTTCTATCATGCAAGTGGGGTGTGAGCATTAAGACCGTTGACAAATTTTTCCCAGTCGGTTTGCCGCAGCTCTGTCATACGCTCTCTGGCAGCAGCAAGGGCAGTTTGGAAGAGCCTCAGCATTCCAGGGGTACGATGTTTTCTATAGGCTAGGCCTAGTCTGCGAGCAGTACGTTTCAGTGTACGAAGTTTAGAATCATTGTAATAAGTATGGTTTTTGAAGGAGGTATGATTATTATGGAAGTTTGTTGGGTTTAGAGTACCAAGAGGTTGCAGTGGCGGCTCTAAGTAGTTCTGAATACTGCTCACAAGGTCATCGTTGAAGGTCTCTACAGAGAACACCATAGGAATTATACCAGTCAGTCACATGTGCAACAAAGTCATCTGCTGATCTGTGGGAAAAATTAAAACGTTTCCGTTTGAATATCCCACCAGGAAGGATAGTATTAAAGACGGGGGTCTTAGTCACATGACCAGCCACTGGAGTTGTGGTCATATGCCCCGAATTTGACTCACAAAATCGTAATGAAACGATTGAAAACAAACCATACGAAGTCTTTCATTGGCTTACCGGTGCACAGCCGTGAAGGTTGTGCAATTAGTTGATAGCCACTGATTATAAAAATTTCCCACTTACTTGAAAAGTCATGGACATTTTTTTCACATGTAACAAATTCGCCTTACACTGAGGCTCGCAGGACCCTATGTCTAGCCCTTATATAATGTATATGACTACGCTTGCTCTTCATGGTACTCTGCCTTGACAAAAAAACTGAAAGATAAACTGTAAATCACCCAAAAACAAAATGGTAAGATTCGTCCTGGACCTGGGTCCAAGGAGAACCCTGTAAGGCCGGATGAATTATAACAATTGAATATGCTGAATATTGAAGACAGAGTAAAACAACTGAAGTTAAATCAAATTTTAAATATAGTTTGCTCACAAACATGTCCAGAGTATCTTGCTGCCACTTTTTTCAAGGCTGGGAACCGGAGCAATCATAGTATGTACTAAAGGGAGAGAGCACAACTTTGTAGTACCTACAGTCAGTGGCCAGGCTTCAAACCCCTTTTATTGCACAGCAATAAAGGAATGGAACAGACTGCCTGCACATGTCAAAGCCAGTCATAGTATGAACCAGTTCAAGAAGAGAGCCAAAAGTTAAACCCAATGAATGTAGCGATGGAAAGGAGAATATTTTTTTATTTTTTTAGCTAACACTCTTGTAAATGTAAATTTAAAATCTTTTTACCTTCTTAGTATATCTCCTTTACAGTATAATAATATTATCTCCTTCACAGTATAATAATAAGGTTTTTAAAAGAACCCCAATGGAAATACGCCACTTTGTCCCACTTTTCTGGGTTTATTTTTTTTTTTAATTCGCCGGTATTCTCCGGCCCGGGACTTTTCCAAGTTATCCTAAGTTCTCTCCACATATGCTGCTATGGATGATAATCTGTGTAACTTATTTGTTTATTCCTGAATAAACTTACTTAACTTGCACGTTGCCTTCTGGTCATGTAGCATTTTATTTAAAAAAATTACAAAGCATTTTTTCTTTCTACCGCTTTCCAAAGCAAGATGGGGTGCCTAACTTTAGCTCGGGACTGTGTGAAAAATGTGCAAAAGAGATGACGTAGTAAAACAAGACACACCTCTCCTCCCTCTTCAGATGCTCCTGGTGTCTGCTCTATTTCTTGTTCCTCCTGTCCTCTTCATACTTTCGAGAAACTGGCCGATCTCTTTCTGACAGACTTAGGGAGCATAAAAGTATGTTAGGCTTGCCGACACTAAAGTTTTAAAGTTTAAATGTGTTTATTATGCACCCCATACCCACCTGTGGGCGGTAGTCAAAAGATTACAGAGGTACATAATGGGTCCAGGGACTGAACCCCAAAGTTTTGATAGCTGAGCAAGTTACAAAGGTAATGAACTCCAGGTAGATCTGGTCACAGTCATGGCAAGTTACAAAGGTATTTGCAGATTACAGAGGTACATAAATAACAAAAAAGGCACAATACCGTGACTGGAACGATACTTTGTAAATGGTCCAAGTCGGACCGAAACGTCGTCGTAAGCTTCTCTCTTTTATGTGCGGGTTATTTGTGTACAGAGGTACATAATGGAATGTTCTTTTCTGTCACGTCAGATATCACAGCCGTCCTATTAACTGGTCTTCTGCTAAAACTGTCTTCCCTACTTCCAACTTCAACAGTCGCCGTAATAAACAACTTTCCTTGTATGAATCTTAGTCCTGGCTTCGTCTCTGTAGATGTCTTCCTCTCCCACTACATTGTAAAATGCTCCAAACTTCAGAACACCCGTGACCTAACCTGATTCCTCCTTTTTCTTCTTCTCCCTCTTCCCCTTTCCTCTTTCGTTTTTTCTCCTTTGGGCTGTCTTTCTTCTGCCCTGTGTATTTGTTCCTTCTTTATTTATTTATTTATTTATTTTTCCCCCCTCTGTGTTCTTGCTCTTACCCTCTGTGGGCACCTAGCTCCCTTGCAGTGCTCCTCTTTCTTAATATTTACTAGATCGTCCTCTTACTACCTCCCCCACTACTACTGTGGAAAATTGCATTTAGCTGAATGTATCATTATATACATAACAGTAAATGAACAAAGATAATTATTATTTATCAGTTAGACAAGTAGGAATTTGGGACACCTAGGTCGCAAAAAATGTCCCCCTTCGATACCTATCACTGTCATATCCACAAGTTGCTCTGGACCTATTAATTACCAATGAAATATGTATAACCAGGAATACTGGTAAATGTATAAATTTTGTGGACTGTATATTAAAAATAATAAATGGTTATATATATACACAATTACATAACAGAAGGAAAATATATCTTAATATCACTCGCCAATTTGACTGGATATTAAGTTGTATCATACTCAGAAAAACCTCACTAAATTTATGAAAACACTGGCCAGAATTATACACAAATCTAGAGAGCTTATCTGAGGTTCCTGGAGCTGTCTTGTCCAGTTGTCTGATATCTCAAGTTATGCAGGAATGCATGTCCAACAATTTCGCCTCCTATTTGAGAGGTGTCAGCCCAATTTTAACCTCTAGAGCACGAAAATTCCTTCCCATTACACTAACGTTGTATCCAATTCAAAACCAAGATGGCGAGTCTCGTCTGCGCAGACGCAGGCTTTCCGTTTTCTATGACAATATTATTAAATACAGTATGGCCATCTATTTACATATAAATACTGAATTTCTGGAAAATATATACAGTATTTTCCACAGCTACTACTACCTTCTTCCTCCACTACTATTACTACTACTACCACCTCCTGCCTATATATACCCCTCCCTCCTTTCGTTTGTGTGACTTTGTAAATGGTCCAAGTCGGACCGAAACGTCGTCGTAAGCTCCTCTTCCATGTGCCGGTTATTTGTGTATCGTTCCAGTCACGGTATTGTGCCTTTTTTGTTATTAAATCAAAGACGCGTATATAGACAGTGTTTATAAAAAAAAACGTTGCACTTATTGTAAACTTAAAAAGTCACCTCACCTTCATAGAGCCAACACTACGAAATGTCTTGTTAAAGACTTTTTCTGTTTTTGTATAATTATGTTCAGGTAGAAGCCACTCCTGGTCCAGGTCTTCTCCAAGTGGTGATCCGGCATTTGTCTGACTTACAGCCTTGAACTGGTCTTTCCCACCACTGACTGACAAAAGATTGGAATACATTATGTAATCACATCAAAGAATTTTATATCACCGAATCAGTTTAAGGCGTTAACGTAAAGAAACTTTATAAGGTAAGTTGTTGGAGATTAATCTCACAGGATAAGTGGCGCAGCCACTCATCCTGTGAGAGAACATACCACCATAAAACCAGTGCCTTACATTCCAAATTATGATACAAGAGAAGAGCAAGTGAAGCAGAGTATGAAGGAGAGGACTGACGAAGTATTCTCCTGAGAGTCAAGTCACAACACCCTCAGTCCCTCTCTGTAACTTCGCCCCACAAACCCCTCAGCTACACGCTTTGGTCGCATTGCTAGGATGTCTTAGAGGTGATAATAAGGTTTATGTAAGGGGAAAGTCATGTCTGGCATAGAAAAGGAGGCGTCGTCGTCTGTAGAAGCTTGTCTTCACTAGCCTGACCACCACCATTTACTCTTTGACTGCTGGTAACATGCTACCAGGCAAGAACACTGGGATACAGGAGCACCTAAAGCAGTAAATATGGCACAGTGTAATAAGTGGGTAGTAGGGGTGAGTGCTTGTGTAGCAGTGAGTGTGGTGATGGCGGTGGGACCCAGTGTGCCGGCAGGAAGACAGCCAGCTGTGGAGATTATGGTTGATTCTGAGGATAACCGCCATGGTGTCGATCAGTTAGCGCTACTACAAGAGATGCGCACCATTACTGACATCATGTTAAGACTACAGAAAAAAGGCAAGTTTCAATACCGTTACTACAACAATTCATAACTAACCTCCCTATTAGAAATAATTACTGGATATTTCGGTCTGTCCTTGACTGTTACCAATTAGCAAGTAACTTGATAAGACTTGGACGTCATCCAGTCTTTATTTTCATAAAAAATATATTTTTTTTTGTTCCTTTTCAATTTAGGAGTTATTTATGGAATGACAAATTATCTTCAGTGACTGTACAGTATAAATCGGTACACAGACTGTTAAAAAAAATCTGCTGGAAATATTACCAGGTAGGTAAGCATCGTGTCTCGCGATTATAGGACGGAGGATCGAGCCTCTACCAGTTCTTGAGCTGAATGACAGACTTAGCGCTTCACATATTTTAAATAACTCAAATCAAATGTAAAATCTTGCACAACTGAACTCGCTCTTTGGAAGATGAACTCAGTTCTAAGCATAAACAATGATTTAGCTCTGCAAATATAAGTAAGGATGAGGTCAGCATTAAGGAGACCAAGCGTGACGATGTGCACGAGGCTACGAAATAATAACGCAGGACATTAATTTAAGCTATAATAAATAGCAATAACTATGGATTCTTAATAACGTGTGAGGGCCGTAGTGCTTTTAAGTTTATTTATTGGGTGTTTGGTATTTTAATGTCACCCAGTGTAGTAACCTCTTTTAACCTAAAAGATCTTCAAACATGAGATTTATACACAGATGCATTTCAAGAAGGGCGCTTTGATGCTGATAAAAAGCTCTTGATCCAAGGACCTAAAGATGCCTACCCCTTTCTTGAATCAAACTTGATTTCCTCTCATTTCACTGACTTTGTATGACCCCTTTCCCCAGGAATATTATTATAATAATAGTGTATTTTGATGCAGATGAGACTCCCCCGCCACCCCCGCCTGTAGTTCACGACTGCTCTACGCTCCATCAAGCCGGGGTCAAGGTAAGCTTATTTACACCATTCATTTTCTTAAACAGTTCATTTTAGAGGATAAACGCTGTTATCCTACCTCGGTCCAAAATTTGCCCCAACCCCATAACTCCTATAATAGCTAATTAGTATTTGACGGTCAATGAATAGGCAGATTGACATCTTCAAAATCCTGGAGGTTGAAAAACCTAAAAAAAAAAAAAAAAAAAGCCCTAACCAAACATATTCTAAATTCACTTAACCTAAACTAAATTTAGTCAAGCATCTGAATTATTAGGAACGCATGAAGTCCCTTAAACTGTACTCCCTGAAACGCAGGCGAGAAACATATAATTTACACCTGGAAAATTTTGGAGGGATTGGTTCCAGCTCTACACACTGAAATTACTCCTTACGAAAACAAGAAGCTCGACAGATAGTGCAGAATACTCACAAGGAAAAGTAGGAGTGTAATGAGTACACAAGGAGATAAATATCGCAGTGAGTGTAAAGGAACCAAGACTTTTCATCATCTTCCCTTCATACCTAAGGGACATTACCAAAAGGGCCTCCAATTATCTTCAGGAGGTAGCTTGATAAGTTCCTTAAGTCAGCCGGATTGTGGTGTCAACAACAGCCAGGTCAATCACGCTATCAACAGGCGGCCACAGGACATTTAACCTAATTTAGCATATACTAATTTAACCTACTTACACTTATTTACTGTTTAAGCCTAAACCGTTTCGTCTTGAACGTCTATTAGTGTAACTGCTTTAGCATAGATCAGTGTCAGGAGTCAAGACTTTACACAGTTGAAAATGTGACACAATGTTTTTATGTGTACAGGGAAGCGGGAAGTATCAAGTGTTCCCCTTCACCTTCCTGGTGTACTGTGACATGAGCACCCACGGAGGAGGCTGGACCGTCGTACAACGCAGGTAACAACACACGTCTTTGTCTTAGTAAGTTCTTTATATAAAAAGTATGAATATAAAAATAAAGGAACACTGCTGTAGGCTTCGCTTTTCATTGACGACCTTTCTATTTTCTAGACAGGTCCTACTTTGTGCAACTAATGTGATGTTTTATTGTAGCAGTGTTTCGCACTCCAGGAGCTTTGTGAAATCGTAACGACTTGTCAAAGCTCCTGCAGAACGAAACGTTGCCACAATAAAAAGTCACATTATAAAAATCAACGGTACGGGTGGGGACGGAACCCACGGTGGGTGTTATTACGATTTCTTGAGGAAGATGTCACATTAGTTGCACATGTGTCCTTTTACCTAATATATTGTCGGTAATGCTACCATTATTGCAGGTTCTAGTTTCTACGCCAGTCCTACTTGTTAGACAGGGCCTAAAAGTCACATTATAAAAATCAACGGTACGGGTGGGGACGGAACCCACGGTGGGTGTTATTACGATTTCTTGAGGAAGATGTCACATTAGTTGCACATGTGTCCTTTTACCTAATATATTGTCGGTAATGCTACCATTATTGCAGGTTCTAGTTTCTACGCCAGTCCTACTTGTTAGACAGGGCCTAAAAGGCACATACAGCAAAACTGACCTTCATTACTACGATGTTTCATCTACACGAAGCTTTTTTAAGTACCTGATAAAGCCTTATGTAGGTGAAACTTCTGCTTTTGCTATATATATTTTTTTTCCACTAGGTAGCGACGCCATTCTCAAAACAGTTCCTACTTGCTAAGTAGTTCCTACCAGCTAGACGGAACCTATATTGCCCAGTTAGAACGAGTTAATGGCATGTTCTAACTATTTAAACATCTTTACTGTGGAGGCTATTTAGTACAAAACACTATCTTGACATGAAATAAAAATTTATAGGTTTTTAATATCGTGTTAGTCTTGACTCGACCTCCTCTTTGGGGGGGGGGTAGGCGCCTTGATGCTGGCGAAAGGCTCTCGATTCAATGAAATGAACCTGATTACCTCCCATTCCCAGGCTGTGTGTGGCCCCTACGGATTTAGTGGTTCTCAATAATAATAATAATTGTCACTGCAAACACGTAATTAAATACACCCACACCCAGGAAACTTCAGGAAGTCCAGGAGGACTTCGATAGGGGTTGGGCAGACTACCGGAATGGGTTTGGTAACCTTGATGGGGAGATGTGGTTGGGCTTGGAACCCCTCCACCAGCTCACCTACAGCGCCTCCTACGAGCTGCGGGTCGACATGTTTGATTACCAGCTGGGACACCTCTATGCTCACTACAAGGTCACGCATCAAGATTTTTCTTGTATCCTTAATCCATTCTCGACAATAACAATAAAAATACTAATACTAATATAATAATAATAATAATAATAATAATAATAATAATAATACTTTTCATCAGTTCAAACATTTGTGATATGAAATAAAATGCGATATTATCAGGAGTATTAATACAAGCACTTGATAGTATTTACTTTTTTTTAGACGCACTAAGGCTAACAATACAAGCAGGTACACTACACTAACAATATAAGCAGGTACACTACACTAACAATACAAGCAGGTACACTACACTAACAATACAAGCAGGTACACTACACTAACAATATAAGCAGGTACACTATACTAACAAAATAAGCAGGTACACTACACTAACAATACAAACAGGTACACTACACTAACAATACAAGCAGGTACACTACACTAACAATACAAGCAAGTACACTACACTAACAATACAAGCAGGTACACTACACTAAGAACACTAGCAGGTACACTACAATAACAATACAAGCAGGTGCACTATAATAACAATACAAGCAAGTACACTACACTAACAATACAAGCAGGTACACTACACTAAGAACACTAGCAGGTACATTACACTAACAATACAAGCAGGTGCACTACACTAACAATACAAGCAGGTACACTACACTAACAATACAAGCAGGTACACTACAATAACAATACAAGCAAGTACACTACACTAACAATACAAGCAAGTACACTACACTAACAATACAAGCAGGAGTGTCCCGTATAGTACTTCATGTATTGCAAAGACAGAATTACAAACACTTGTAGCTGTCCCGTGTACAATATTACAAACACTTGTAGCTGTCCGTGTACAATATTACAAACACTTGTAGCTGTCCGTGTACAATATTACAAACACTTGTAGCCGTCCCGTGTACAATATTACAAACACTTGTAGCTGTCCGTGTACAATATTACAAACACTTGTAGCCGTCCCGTGTACAATATTACAAACACTTGTAACTGTCCCGTGTACAATATTACAAACACTTGTAGCTGTCCCATGTACAATATTACAAACACTTGTAGCTGTCCCGTGTACAATATTACAAACACTTGTAGCTGTCCGTGTACAATATTACAAACACTTGTAGCTGTCCCATGTACAATATTACAAACACTTGTAGCTGTCCCGTACAATATTACGAACACTTGTAGCTGTCCCATACATTACAAACACTTGTAGCTGTGCTGTGTACAGTATTACAAGCACTTGTAGCTGTGCTGTGTACAATATTACAAACACTTGTAGCTGTCCCATGTACAATATTACAGACAGTTGCATTTCTCATATATGATGTAATAATGTGGATGTGTTGCAGAACTTTCGTGTGGGTCCTGAGAGTGACGGTTACCGTCTGCTGGCGACCAATTACTCAGGCGACGCCGGCGACGCACTCTCAATCTTTCACTCCGGTCTTCGCTTTTCCACCCTCGACCGTGACCAGGTGGGCAAGAATTTCCTAATGACTCATTGATGTTAAATATTACTAAATTTAGACCTGCCAAAAAGAGGTTGGGCCAGATTAACCTAAATGTGGGAAATTACCTGCAGGAGGTTTACAGGGTATTACCAGAATTATTTCCTGCAAGTAATTTGGGTGAAGTAAGTGGGATTGTCACAGTGGGTCGCCAAACTGTTACTCCCTCGATGCCCACTCCCTACCACTCTCACAAAAAAAGCTTGACATAATATTAAATTAATAATTACAATACTAAACATTAATACCAATAATGGTAAATTATAAAATAATGTGGACTGTATATGATTTTAGGACCTGACTGTTAGAAATGGTTAATGGGAATATTTTTAAAGAGACTAGGGAAAAAATATATTTCATTGTGTTTGTTTATTATTAAATCCACCGTGAGGCCTGGTCTCAGACCGAGCCGCGGGGGCGTTGACCCCCGAAATCCTCTCCAGGTAAACCTGTATAAAATATATATAGTTGGATTACGCGAAACTTAATTTCGCTTGTTATAATAAGGTTAGGTAAGTTTCCTAAGGTTCTTTTGGTACAAAATCATTAATTTTTATATTAACATAAATGAAAAAATATATCTTTAAATGTATAAGTTTACAGTAATTTAATAATAAACAAACACAATGAAACATATGTTTTCGTTAGGTTCAGAATGATTTTTGAGAGATTATCCCATACACAAATTTTCGCTTGCCTTATTCGGCAAGAAGAGCGTTGCTATTTAAGCCAAAATAGCAAGTTTTACCTATTAGGCACGACATATATATATATATATATATATATATATATATATATATATATATAATATATATATATATATATATATATATATATATATATATATATATCGTAATTGTTTCCCTTTTCTTATTAGATCGTGCTATACAGTGATTACCTCAAAATAAAATAACCTTATTGCTACTATAAATTTGTATCATGGTAAAATCATGACTGTTTATCTTTCTTTTGTACAATGTGACTGAGTGGGAAGAGTTACCAATATTCCCCTTTAACCTGACCCTGAAACACTGACTTCATTTCCATGGTAATCTAACCAACGTCATCATTAACACAAGATAATGGAGCAAGATACACTCTAGCCTTCTAATTTGGTCCGCCCACTGCGTTCAGAGCCCATTTTGCTCCCTCCCACTGGATTCGAGGGCCATTTTCCTGCCTTCCACTGGGTTCAGTGACAACTTTGTTCCTCCCACTGGATACAGTGACAACTTTGCTCCCTTCCACTGGATTCATGGGTCATTTTCCTCCCCCATTTCCTCCTTCATTGCCCACTTTTTCTCCCACTGGGTTCAGTAATCAGGTCTCCCGCTAGGTTCAGGCGTTGATGAATATTTATTAAGCAACATAAAACCACTAAAAAAGAATCATCCGAAACTGTATGATGGTATAAGATATATATATATATATTATATATATATATATATATATATATATATTTATATATATATATATATATATATATATATATATATATATATAATATATATATATATATATATTATATATAATATATATATTATATATATATATTATATATTATATATATTATATTTATATATATATATATATATATATATATATATATATATATGTATATATATATAAAGTATATAATATATATATATATATATGTATATATATATATTGTATATATATATATTATATATATATATATATATATATATATATATATATATATATATTATATATATATGTATAATATATATATATATATATATATATATGTATATATATATATATATATATATATTATATATATATATATATAGAATATATATATATATAATATATATATATTTGTATATATTATTATATATATATTATATATATATATATAGTATATATATATATATATAATATTATATATATTATATATATATATATATATATATATATATATATTTATATATATATATATATGTATTTATATATATATAGTATATATATATATATATATATATAAAATATATTATATATATATGTATATGTATATATTATATATATATATATATATATATTATGTAATTATATAATGTATATATATATATATTATATATGTATATATATGTATTATATTTATATTATATAGTATATATATATATTATATATATATTATTATATTATTATATGTATAATATATATATAATATGTATATTATATATATGTATATATATATATATATGATATATATATTTATTAGATAATATATATATATTATTATATATATTATTATAATATTATATATATTTATACCATACTATTTGAACGATGAGTTTATCTATAAATATATTGATGTGTGAGGACGGGCACGAGAGACGGTTAAGTAGTAAGTGTTGGTGCTCCACAGGACCTGGCCAGGAACAAGAGCTGTGCACAAGATAAGGAAGGTGGTTGGTGGTTCCATGCTTGTTATGCTGCTCATCTCAATGGTCGTCACTCCATCACTCCCTCTAGGTCAGTAGATCTTCATACCGTCACTCCCTAAAGGTCAGTACATCACCACACCATCGTTACCTCTAAATCAGTGATTCCCAGAGTGGGCGGTGGAAAGACCCAGGGGGGCGTTGATGGAAAAGGGGGCGGCAAATAGAAGTTACATGGCTGTCAAAAGGGAAACTTTCTGAGACGTTTCTATTCACTTTTCAAAACAGTTGTTGAACTCTTCCAAGACTCCAATTCTGTTCTATGTGATAAACTAAGAAACATCAAGCATGACATTGCTTATTTGTCAGATGTATTCACAAAGCTCAACGAAGTTAATTTGCAGTTGCTAGGAAGTAAAGTTAATCTTATCAAAGTCAAATCCGCCCTTTCCTCTTTTCTGTCTAGGTTAGTTATTCAAACGAAAAATTTTGTAACATAACTCGTCGTGAGCTCTTCCAGTTTCCCAGCTTCTCTGAATTGGAGAAGAGCATACCAGACGATGACCTTTAAGTGTATTGTGCACGCCTGAATGAGCTGCATAATGACATGTCTAACAGATTTCAGGATCTTTTTTTGCTTAAAATACCGGACTGGCTGATCAATCCATTTATAGATATCAGCAGTGTGGAAATAGGAATGGTGGAGGAATAACTTATTTCACTCCAAGATGACAATGAGCTGAAGCCAAAGTTCAAAAAGATCATATCAAGATTTTTGGTAGCAAAAAAACATTTCTGACCGCTATCCTGCACTGTGGAACAAAGTACAGATGTACTTTATTGTCTTCCCAACATCATATTTAGTAGAGTGAGGCTTCAGTGCTGTTGCCAAGTTGCTCTCCAACCAAAAAAAAAAAAAGATAAAAAACTTCTTAGTACCTTCAAGCCTAATGTTAAGAAACTGATGGTCCTGCACCTAGCACATCCATCTCATTAAAATTGAGAAGACAATGTAGTGACAGATGTGATGTAAGTTTACCTTTTATATTGTTAAATAAATTGGTTTACTATGTTAATTTTTATTTGAGAACTAAATACGCTTGTTTATAGTGTTAGATTAGTTGTTTTGAATTTGAGGTAAACCTAGTACCAAGAAAGAGGCTTAGGTTAGGTTAGGTAAGGTTCGTCAGGAAACAGGACAAATGTTTCCTGACGCGAGTCTTAGTCAGATGATGACCCACCTTTGGAGCTTTTGGTCATCTGACCGAGGCCTTCCGCTGGCTTACCGGTCCACCCCTTTAAAAATTATGGTCATTTATAACCATTTTTTTTTTTTTAAGAAAGAGGCGAGATCGTATGTGTGTGGGGGGGAGGGGGGCTAGTAATGTGGCCGGGGAGCCAAGGGGGGGGGCAGCCTGAAAAAGTTTGGGAACCACTGGTCGAAATCAATACACCATCACTCCGTCTAAGTTAGTACATCACTATTCAATTACTCCCTGCAGATCAATACTCCCACATTCCACTAGGTTCATCACCCTACTTGATCAGTACTCCTCATCCCAGAACTTTATAATGGTTTGTCTTATAAAAAAATAATTTATCAAAGAAGAATTTCCAACACCCATAAATTATGGTTTCACAACTGACTAAAAGTTGTAAATGAAAACCTGAACGAAATTTCGGTCTGGACCATTATCAAACTATGATAATATTCAAGGACTAAAATGACTTTGTGGGTTAGTTATGAATTGCTCCACCTAGGATATTGTGACTTATTTTAACTTATGCTTTCTTTGTCAGGAAAGGCAACGGCACAGAAATCCGCTGGTGGTCAAACCGCGAGCGAGTGCTGGTCCTAACTCACGTAGAAATGAAAATACGTCGGCGAAGGTCTGAAGGTGCTGCAGGGAACAAGCCGACAGATGACGTTACTGCTGACGACACCCAGGGAGAGACTCCTATCGGAGGCACTGACGATAGCTACCACGACAGTACGATGTCACCCACCAAAGGCTACGCTCCCTGGTGGCCAGCATTTGAAGCAACAAGTGATCACGAGGATGAAAATGTCATCAACGTTCCTGGCGGCCGCGCAGACGTTAATCCCTGGGAAGTGGTGCGCCCACAAATGGAATAATCCCTACATAAACCGTAATTGGGTGGGGATATTACAGTTCTGAGGGTTATTTGAATTGTGAAATCTACGTACGTCTGGCAAGACAGCTGTTGAACGGATGATTACGTTTAATTTTTCTTGGGTCACTACCTCGGTGGGAGATGACTGGTGTGCTTAAAAAATAGTATATTTGTTCCCATTATGCTGTGTACTTAGAGGACACCCTGGATGAGGCGTTTTCAGTAAAGACTTCTTACTAAGTTAAGTGATATTATTTTTGAGGGTTTGAAAGACACAAAGATGTTAGGTATGGTGATATAGATACTTTTAACAAAGCAAGTAGCTTTAACAATTAGTTAAACAATTATATGAGTGAGGATTGGATTTGGGAAGGACTTGTTTAGTAGGATCCAGTAGGCCTACTACGGTCTTCCTCCATTCTTAGATTTATATGTTCTTGTGAATGTGAGTGAAATGATGTTTAAATAAAGGCTGAAGTTGTTGTGCCTTTGCACTACCTTGTTTACGTAAGTCTGTTAAAGAACAGATAAGAAGAAAATGTATTGAGAGACGTGGAGACTAAGCTAAAAACTTAGTCTTATTTCAGTAGCCCATAAAAAGTTATAAAATTTATTTGGTCTAGGTAGGTCACCTATACTGCCAAAAAGAACATTCCAAACCTTCCTCCATGTAAGATACACCATTCAGAGTTTGAAGTCGATTAAAACAGGTATTATCAAGTTATCGCACAAAAATTATTGTGCAATTATCATATATAAATTTGGTAAATTGGTACCAAAAAAATCCAAATCTTCCTTTAAGGACGATAAACAAACTTAAAAAATTTGAATCCAGTCAGACTTGTTCTCAAGAATCACACAGAAACCTTAACTATTGGATAAATAAAAAAAAAAATGCGAAACTCGACATAAACTATATTATCTTCTATTGGTAGATACCTAATCCTATTTTTTTTAAATCTTCATCAGAAATCATTCTAGAAACAAATCGTATAGAATTTCATTATATCTAAAAGCCTTTCTAAGAGATCAAATCCTATAAAATACAGTACATTATAATTCGTACTGGAGAGGAACCGTATTAGTGTTCACAGTGATTCAATATCAAGGGGAACATGAGTCAAGGCTTTCCTTCATTAAGTGTCAATGATTTCTTGGATATCTATGCGCTGTAAAAAATCAAATAAAAAAAATACTTAGGGGAAAATTAAGACGACGTTTCGGTCCTCCCTGGACCAATGTCAAATCCCAACTTCTTCCAGCCATGTTATCGTGACTTGTATTCTTCTAATCTTCAAAATTCGAGTCAGAAGTGAAAATGAATGATCACTGGAGTGATATCCTTGAGAAAGGAACCGCTAAAGTGAAACCGCCGCTTGTTGGCCGTTCTGTGGTGTAATTCCCTCTGGCTGTTTGTGAAGTTGATCCAGATGGGATCCTTGAGAAGATAGTTCTTGTATAAACAGTAAAGCCATGGAATTTTCTATATTTGTTTTTTACATCTATCCTGTCAGCTTCCCTTCTTGTCATCCTTTCTCGTCAATAATAATTGCCATAACCTCTTGAACTCACATTATTATTATAATCAAGGGGGAAGCGCTAAACCCGGAGGATTATACAGCGCCTGGGGGGGGGGATGTGGAAGGCATTCAGGCTTAATTCGGGGAACTGGAGCACAGATCCAATTCCCTAAATCAAGAGCCCCTCACCAACATCAAGGAACCTTCCTTGAGGGGTCTTGAACTCACAATGAAATACTTGATGATATCCTCATCTCTTTACTGAAATCTCCCAGCTCCCAATTGAAATCTCCCAGCTCTCAAATGAAATCTCACAGCTCTCAGATGAAGTCTCCCAGCTCCCTATTGAAATCTCCCAGCACCCTATTGAAATCTCCCAGCTCTCAGATGAAATATCCCAGCACCTTATTGAAATCTCCCAGCTCTCAAATAAAATCTCCCAGCACCCTACTGAAATCTCCCAGCTCCCTATTGAAATCTCCCATCTCTCAAATAAAATCTCCCAGCACCCTACTGAAATCTCCCAGCACCCTATTGAAATCTCCCAGCTCTCAGATGAAATCTCCCAGCTCTCAAATAAAATCTCCCAGCACCCTACTGAAATCTCCCAGCTCCCTATTGAAAGCTCTCAAATAAAATCTCCAAGCACCCTATTGAAATCTCCCAGCACCCTATTGAAATCTCCCAGTTCTCAGATGAAATCTCCCAGCTCTCAAATAAAATCTCCCAGCACCCTATTGAAATCTCCCAGTTCCCTATTGAAATCTCCCAGCTCAAATAAAATCTCCCAGCACCCTATTGAAATCTCCCAGCTCTCAGATGAAATCTCCCAGCTCAAATAAAATCTCCCAGCACCCTATTGAAATCTCCCAGCTCTCAGATGAAATCTACCAGCTCTCAAATAAAATCTCCCAGCACCCTATTGAAAGCTCCCAGCTCCCTATTGAAATCTCCCAGCTCTCAAATAAAATCTCCCAGCACCCTATTGAAATCTCCCAGCTCTCAGATGAAATCTCCCAGCTCAAATAAAATCTCCCAGCACCCTATTGAAATCTCCCAGCTCTCAGATGAAATCTCCCAGCTCTCAAATAAAATCTTCCAGCACCCTATTGAAATCTCCCAGCTCCTTATTGAAATCTCCCAGCTCTCAAATAAAATCTCACAGCACCCTATTGAAATCTCCCAGCTCTCAGATGAAATCTCCCAGCTCTCAAATAAAATCTCCCAGCACCCTATTGAAATCTCCCAGCTCTAGATGAAATCTCCCAGCTCTCAATAAAAATCTCCCAGCACCCTATTGAAATCTCCCAGCTCCCTTTTGAAATCTCCCAGCTCTCAAATAAAATCTCCCAGCACCCTATTGAAATCTCCCAGCTCTCAGATGAAATCTCCCAGCTCTCAAATAAAATCTCCCAGCACCCTATTGAAATCTCCCAGCTCCCTATTGAAATCTCCCAGCTCTCAAATAAAATCTCCCAGCACCCTATTGAAATCTCCCAGCTCTCAGATGAAATCTCCCAGCTCTCAAATAAAATCTCCCAGCACCCTATTGAAATCTCCCAGCTCTCAGATGAAATCTCCCAGCTCTCAAATAAAATCTCCCAGCACCCTATTGAAATCTCCCAGCTCCCTATTGAAATCTCCCAGCTCTCAAATAAATCTCCCAGACACCCTATTGAAATCTCCCAGCTCTCAGATGAAATCTCCCAGCTCTCAAATAAAATCTCCCAGCACCCTATTGAAATCTCCCAGCTCCCTTTTGAAATCTCCCAGCTCTCAAATAAAATCTCCCAGCACCCTATTGAAATCTCCCAGCTCTCAGATGAAATCTCCCAGCTCTCAAATAAAATCTCCCAGCACCCTATTGAAATCTCCCAGCTCCCTATTGAAATCTCCCAGCTCTCAAATAAAATCTCCCAGCACCCTATTGAAATCTCCCAGCTCTCAGATGAAATCTCCCAGCTCTCAAATAAAATCTCCCAGCACCCTATTGAAATCTCCCAGCTCTCAGCTCCTTATTGTATGTTATAAATTTTATTATCTCATGTAAATGACCCATCCTGTGGGATGGAATATTATAGTGAAATAGCTGATCTTTGTTCCCGCAATATAATTTCATATAGAATAAGGTAGCCTCGCGCTTTTCATGTCCCTAATTTCAGTAAAAATAAAATATTAAAAGTGGCCTGGCCCCGGCTTCGCTGGGCTAAGTAGAGTTAGGATGGGTTGTGTTAAGCTAGGTTAATTCCAATAAGATTTGTTTCTTCTCTAGACAAAATACCCAAAACAATTTTATTTTTCAACTTGGACAAACTGTAATTATTTCCACTGGACAATTCAATCAATATTACACGCTCTCTATAAAAAACTCGCAAAACTCGATGGAGCCCATGAACTCACTATTTACCCCGTTCTTCTATATAACAATACATTTTCATCTCAGCCTTATTTAGGGCTCTCGCCGGCGTCTGACAGCATGAAGTCTGCACAGGAGGTGGGGAAAGTAGGTTGACGAGATGTGGCCTCACCTTCTTCACTCACTACTACCTAAGACTTTTAATGATAACTTCCTTTCTCCGGCCTCGTCATCCATACTAGTATAGGGAGCACCAACAACTTGGCTGATCAGGTCATCAACCAAGAGTCCCGGTCTGGGACCTGGTAAGATCACAGAACCAGCGTCAGGTGTCCTACAAGTAACCATGAGACTCCTGGGTCGTGTGTGTGTGACGACACTCCCAACATTATGGTAATGTGATGGCCTATAAAATGCGTTTTACGCCTGTGTACTATATACTCTGTCGTGCTCCTCAAGGTGGAGGTTCCTCAGTCCCGGTGAGCTCTTGATCCAAGTAATTACATCTGCCTTCCCTATCCTTGGATCGAAGCTGAATGCTTCCTATTTTCCTATGAGCTCCATGACCCCTACAGGTTTAGCACTTTCCCATGGATGTAATAATAGGAGTACTTTGTGATGAATAATATATTATCAAAATAACGGACTGGAGTTTGCCTTAGGAATATGAGTTTTAGTGAAATGTGGATTAACACGAATGAAAGGAAAAGCAGGAATATAGATAAAGCAAGAATTTAGACTAAAAGAAATATGGATTAAACAGGAATGCAGTCATAGAAATATAGGTTAGACATTAATGCAGCTCAGTAAGGATGTGAGTGAAACGGGAAGTGCAAGCAAAGCAAGTGCAAGCAAAGCAAGAATGTGGATTAAACAGGATTAGCAGAAACGTTGCTTCAACAAGAACAAAATCACCATGCATGCAGGTTTAGCAAGAGATGCAAGATCACCAGGCATGTAGGCTTAGCAAGAGATGCAAGATCACCAGGCATGCAGGTTCAACAAAAGATGCAACATCACCAGGCATGCAGGTTTAGCAAGAGATAAGATCACCAGGCATGCAGGTTCAACAAGAGACGCAAGATCACCAGGCATGCAGGTTTAGCAAGAGATGCAAGATCACCAGGCATGCAGGTTTCCCAAAAAGAGACGCAATAAACCAGGCATGCAAGTTCAACAAGAGACGCAAAATCACCAGGCATGCAGGTTCAGCAAGAGACACAAGATCACCAGGCATGCATGTTCAGCAACAGACGCAAGATCACCAGGCATGCAGGTTCAGCAAGAGACACAAGATCACCAGGCATGCAGGTTCAGCAAGAGACGCAAGATCACCAGGCATGCAGGTTCAACAAAAGATGCAACATCACCAGGCATGCAGGTTCAGCAACAGACGCAAGATCACCAGGCATGCAGGTTCAGCAAGAGACGCAAGATCACCAGGCATGCAGGTTCAACAAAAGATGCAACATCACCAGGCATGCAGGTTCAACAAAAGATGCAACATCACCAGGCATGCAGGTTCAGCAAGAGACACAAGATCACTAGGCATGCAGGTTCAACAAAAGATACAAGATCACCAGGTATGCAGGTTCAGCAAGAGACACAAGATCACCAGGCATGCAGGTTCAGCAAGAGACACAAGATCACTAGGCATGCAGGTTCAGCAAGAGACACAAGATCACCAGGCATGCAGGTTCAACAAAAGATGCAAGATCACCAGGCATGCAGGTTCAGCAAGAGACACAAAATCACTAGGCATGCAGGTTCAGCAAGAGACACAAAATCACCAGGCATGCAGGTTCAACAAGAGACGCAAGATCACCAGGCATGCAGGTTCAGCAAGAGCCCAAAAAATTTCACCAGGCATGCAGGTTCAACAAGAGACGCAAGATCACCAGGCATGCAGGTTCAACAAGAGACGCAAGATCACCAGGCATGCAGGATCCATTATATTGTACAGAACATTTTCTCTTATAATGAAGATTCTGTGATGTGAGGAACTGAATGCTGAAGATGAATGATAGTGCTGTGAAGTGAAGATGTACAGGATTGAGAAGTATGTGTATGATGTGAGTATTCGTGTTTGTTGACCAATGTCTTATGCTGGTGGTTATGATGTGCTGTGGTGTTGAATGTATGGTAACTGTGTGATGTTAGTATAGTGGTGTTGTGTGTGTTTTATGTGGCGGTTTGTTTTTGTAGTGAATGTTTTGTGGGGTTGTGTGGTATTGTGTTGTCTTGTGTGGTGGGGTCTTGTGTGTGGTGTGTTATGTAGCGGTGTTATGTGGTGGTGTATGGGCGCATGAGTGCCAACCACGCAAAAGATACCTTATACCAATACTGCAGCTTCTAATCCAAGATTCAAAAGTTTTCTTACACAGAAACTAATGATTTTTAAACACATGTTGCCCCGGTTCCAGTGTGACTGCTGATAACTATGCAGGTCGCTTGTCGGGCACAAGGTTGCCCAAGGAAGCTGATTCTTTGGGCAGACACATTTCTAGTCTTCGACCAACTCATTTACCATTCCTGTCATGTGCTGGTCGGTGTCCATCACGAGGCAATAATAGTTATCATTCATGCCTCATAGTGAATTATAATGATG